AAAAACCCCCCCCCCCCCCCCCCCCCCCCCCCACGAGGCCCCCGCCGGCCAAAGCTGTTCGGTTGACGGACCGAAACACGAGGGGAGCCCCAAGGGCGCGTATAAAAATATATACTTCGAAGTACGTTGAAAGCGACGTAAACTCAGCCACCAGGCTGATCGTCAAGAAAAACGTCACACACAACACTTACACTCTAGACGAACACAAACACGCGCCTTCCGGTTGGGCCGGCAACAAATCACCCCTTTCCATCCTTCTACGCTAGAAGTATGCCACGCAGGAAAAAATATCTGTAAAGTTGTCGCTTACGCACGTAGATACGTAAGAAATGCTTGCGCGCGTACAAGATGCTTACGTTAGGGTTCGGGGAGTGTCCTTTCTTGGTCAAGAAAACGTGCGCCCATGCGGAGCCGTTGTTCAAGAGCATCGGAGGCAGGTCCAGCTTCAGAGTGGTGCTCCTAGTCATGTCGCCGGCCTGCAAGGTGGTGGTGGTGGGGGTACACTCATGTATAATGCATGCCTTTAGCGGTTAGACTTATGACCACGGACGGGGGGGGGTGGGGGAAGCTCACCCATTTGTAGGTTGCCGCAAATTTCGACACGACGCATCGCGATTCTCACTTGGGACACGAGCGATGCTGCCCTATTCGGGGGTGGCTGTCACTCTGTCCTCCGCCGCTTCTACAATTGTACCGTGGTCCAAAAAACAAGAGTCATGCTCTTCTTCGCAGCGACGCTGATTCTTCCTCGACCCCGCTGCACGCTATTTTCTATCCTCTGGACACTGTGTACAGAGACCGGTCGCCTCTTTCTTTCTACGTGAACGGGGGGGGGCGCGCGAGGCGGGCTGATTACAGCCCTAACCTGGTAGCGCAAGACACGACGGTTTTGTCTTGAAATCGACCAACATACACGACAGGACACAGAGGAAGGGGACAAACGGTGTGCCGAGAAAAACGGCATTCGGAAGTTTTTTTTTATCGAGAACGTGACGATGTGCAGGAAGGCCTTTTTAATGTGGGTTATGGGCTATTAATGCGCGTTAGTGTCGCCTCAACGCAAGAGCAGGAGGCATGGGGCTCCGTCCGTCGTACTTGTAGCACCACCGCCAACAGGTACCTTGCACCACCTTCGCCGTCATCATCCACAGGGACCACACCACCAAAAAACACTGGGCATGTTCCTTCCCGCCTGACCGGGAAAACACAACCCCGAACCACGCTAGAAGCAGACGAGCCTCGCGCCTGATCCTCCCTAAAAAAATTATCTCTCTCTCTGTCTCTCTCTGTCTCTCTCTGTCTCTCTCTGTCTGTCTGTCTCTCTCTCTCTCTGTCTCTCTCTCTTTGTTCGCAAGTCAGCTATGTCCAGCCGGGGGGAACCCGACCACTGCTACTGCACGCAGGGGGCTGGAATCACCAAGTCCCAAATGGTACTCGACCATTCAACTGCACCCAACGGCTGCAACAAAGACACAACCGAGAGCAGCAAGTAGAGCAGCCGTAGAATGGTAGATACTTCGACAAACTCCACCCAAAGCACCCCTGACAACAGAGCGTCAACAACAACATCAGCATCAACAGCGAGCAAATCGCAAAAAAAAAACCCGCCCGATTCTCACCTCTCCCGCAAAAACCAGGTTGCTCTCGTGCCACAACAACCTGGCGGGTAAGCTGTTTGCTGTCCCCTCCTCCCCTTCCGGTCCCGCCCCCCGCTCCCCCGCTTCCTCCCCCTGTGTCTCCCACACGCTCGCCTCGTCTTCCGAACCGGACATATACCTGACAAAAAACAGAAGCCGTGGTGGGAAAATGAACATGAACAAAGAGCAAATGCGAAAGAATACATCATGACGTACCCAGAGGGGGGGGCAGTGAACAAGCTGTGGTGATGTTGTCTCTACCCTGTCTCATGTCTTGTCTCTCCCGCTGTGTGTTGAGCCTAAGGTGGTTGGTAAACACCTATTATACTGCAGCTGCATTACTTGCCGCGGCCGGCTGCGCTGGTTAAACGCGCACCACACGTGGGTTTTCACTTGTCTCTCCTTGTCAAAGTAGACAGGCAGCTGTGCCTTTTTACATATGACATGAATACCAATGCCACGGAATTCACGTTATTGGCCTCGAGGGGTGCGGAAAAGGGGGGGGGGGCTGAATGGGTTTATGCCATGGTACATCGGAACATGTTTCCAATGCCTAGACGGCAACGCAAACAACGACGCTGGTTGTTGAAAAAAAAAACTCGGCAAGTCCTATGTATATCAACTTACACATGTAAATCGACTTTTTGCCCCCTGTTAAAGGTGCACCGATGGACCGATAGCTGCCTCCCGCGAGCGTCGTACTCGGGGAACTGCGGGATCCTGCTGCTCTGGAGACCCATCGCTTCCTTCATCCAGTTTACGTCCTGAAAAAGGAATCAATCGTGAAAGCGCCGTGTACACCATACGGCGTAATGGAAACGTTGTTACTATGCTCGACCTTTTGGCACAAACCAAAACAGTTCCACCTCTACCGTTTCCGTTGTTCTACAGCTCATATGCAACGACGGCGTAAACTAACTGTCGAACCTACACCCCCACCATGGGTGGTTAATGGTGCCGCCATTACTGAGGTGGCTCTAACGAAACTGGATTACGAATGTTAACCAATAGAAACTCACGCTCTCCTCCCCCTTGGGCAGCGGCTTGAGGACCTGCGAGACCTCGTCCTGCTCGCTCTCCTTCATGATCGCCACCGCCTCCTTAATCTGGTGCGTCTGAAACTGCTTCGAGAAGAACATGAAACTCATGTACAGCACCGCGAGCTGCCATAATAATCCACGGGAGTGTGGGGTGGGTGGGGGGGGGGCACAGACGGAGGAAGACGAGCTGAGAGAAGGAGAAAGAGGGAGACAACAAAGACTGACGCAAGAAAAGGTACAAGCTCAACTTCACGCAGACGGAGTCACGGACGCCCCAGCAGTCACAGGCAACCAGCCCTCGCCTTGGAGTCAAGGGGGACCTAGCCCCGACCAAAACACCACCAGCGGCGCGCACATCGTAATGCAAGCGGCTACCCAGGCGACAGCCGAAAATCCATGGGAGGACAATGAGGCTTGCCCCACGCAAACCAGGCGCGTTTTGTTTATTGTCAATCGCGGAGCAGAGATGGAATCTTGGTTGGGAACTGCGAAGATAGATTAGGATATGTCTACCTTTAAGTTAACGTGTTTCATGATCTCGAATTTTCAGGAGGAATGCGTGCTCCACGTGCTGGCATTGGAGCAAGAGGTCAAGGTCGGTAAGAGGGGTGTGGGAGCAGCAGAGCTGAAGGGATGGTTTGGGGTTGATATGGTAGAGAAAGTCGTTTCGCTTGTGGAACACCATCATAAGCAAGGTGCTGCATCCGCCTGTTTAGAGCGCTTGATTATGGCGGCTGTGAGCCCGCAGAAGGGCTGAAGGGTTTCTATACGATGAAGAGAAGAAGGAGCCCAAGAAATCGCAACCGGAACAAGAACGGAAGGAGATAGAGATGCGTGACTCAGAGAAACCTCAAGATTACATCGCTCGAGCAGCAGCTCTCCGCCGCCGCCTGCGTCTTGCCTCCATAGGGACAAGTAGATATGTTACAGGGGCCAACAACGACAAATTGTTCGTGGTCTTCCCTTCGATTTCGACGTGTGAAATAAGCGATTCTCCTGGCGGAAGAGGTGTTGAGCTTGCGTAGAGGGGCAGAGAGAGAGAGAGAGAGAGAGAGAGAGAGAGAGAGAGAGAGAGAGAGAGAGAGAGAGAGAGAAAGAGAGAGAGAGAGAGAGAGGACAGAAAGAGGCCCACGGCATTCGCGTTCTGACGACGGGGGAGAGAGCAGGCGTACGTTGCGTATTACGTCCACTTGTCCACGACGACAGCTGTACAGTACTATGTACGGAGACGACGGCGACGGGGTCGAACCGAAATTGACCGAGATGACCGGCGGCGTGGGCGCGGGAGGTGTCGACGCAACAGGGAAAACATAATTAACTCCCCTCGCCGGCTAGCGCCGAAGCCACAAACGACACGTCGTCGGTATAGACGACGCGGCAGGTGGACGGCTCGAGCACCTTGATGGTCGTAACACCCGCCGTTGAGGTAGTAGCACAGGGTGGCCTGTTCGTCAAGCTTGCTGCGGCGCTTCTGGAGAGCGGCATGCTCCAGAAGCGCCGCGGCAACCTCGACGAACAGACTACCCTGTGCTGCTACCTCAACGGCGGGGATAAGCCACGCGAGTGGCGCCATCAAGGCTCTCAAGGTGTCTACCAGCCGCGTCGTCTACATCAACCATGTGCCGTTTTGGCGTCGGCGCCAGCCGGCGAGGGGGGGTTGTTCTGGTACATTCCCGCTATGCCGACACCTCCCGCGCCCACGCCGCCGGTCATCTCGGCCAGCTACACTGACACAGGGGGTAGCAATGGTCTTGTGCCCAGCGCTAGACAGCGACGGTCTATCCACCGGACGTACATGCTACCTCATGCACACCCACCCACCACAAGAGAGTGAAGTACTGCTGTTTTGGCGCTCGACGATCGCTGCTGCTCCGTGCCAACACGAACATGACGAGCGAAAACATGATGGGCACACCAATAACATGAGCCGCATTGCCCTACAGCAGTGTAGATGTTACCTTAGCTGCACTGCTGTGCTCTCGCGGGCCACATCCGCTGTCAGCAAGACATAATTTCGGGGACAGAATTAATTGGTTTTTACCACCGCTTTGTGTGTAGTTTCCCGCACCTATCTGTCACTAGGGGTGGAAAGTAACGCTTGTTGTGGTGCAGGTTCTAGCACTGGCACAGAGAGGGCGCCACACGTGACCTCCACTCTGCGGTTGTTGGTCTCATAATTCACTTTACGTACCTTGATAAACAGTTGGGCAAAGCCAGGCTTTTCCTCCTGGTTCTGCGGCTTGTTTTCCCTTCCCACTGCTCCCGTAGCAGGGACGACGGCTTCAGCCATCTTTTCTTTTCCCTCTCGATGTATCTCGGCCATACGGGGTAGTGTTGCTTGCAACCGCGGCAGCAGCGCAGTAGCGCAGCAGCGGGGTGTTTTCGCCCACAGGTTCCGCCGCATTTTTGCGTAAACGCCTCCTGAACTTAGGGAAACCAATTTCGAGAACAGCAGTGACGCGGCTGGGGGAGACACGCGCGGGACGCGCCAGGGGAAAGGTCGATAGCTCGACACCCAAAGGATAATCTTGCGTTCGCCAGTTCGATTCTGCTGATAAAAGGTGAGGAGAAGAGTTGTGGTACCTCGGAATCGCGAGAATTCTCTCACATCCCCTAAAACTTGGTGCTGAAAAAGTGGTCGTCGTGTAGAATTTGGCTCAGAACCGCTTGTACACAACGGCGGTCGCGGTGCAGCAGTCATGTATTGTTTGTGGAGGTGTGTCTGAATGCCTTCTCTTTGGCTCTCTCTCAATGGTCGTACGCACAGCTTCCCGCTTCCCTCTCACGCTACGCCAGCGCAGACGCGCAGACCACTGTAGTTTCTCTCTGTCTCTCTGTCTCTCTGTGGCGGTCGGGTTGCAGTCGTGATGCCAGTTCAGAACTCAGAACCCGAATCTCGAGATTCCTCAGGTTCCCTGACCCCTGACCCCCGACCCCACACAGCCTGACAGCCCCGACATATTTGCATCCGTTTGTCATTCATCCATGGGTGCATCAGCTGGTTCTCTGGTAAACGGACGTCGCTGACTTGCTGCTGGTTGTTTATCTCTGTGTGTCGGCAAGCTCGGGTTGTCTCGTTGTCTCTGTCTTCTGTAGCCTTCGAACTCTACGGCAGGGTAGAGAACTGAAAGAGAACCAGAAGACACGGAGCAGTATAGCAGTATGAGGCCAGGAACTCCAGGAACTCTTCTGATTCCCAACAGCTGGGAATGGTTGATGAAGCTTTGGGAGGCTGGGAAAATGTGTCCACGAAGGCGCGCCCACTCTCCGCACCACTCTAGCTTGACTGAGTTCGCTCGGTCACGCTTCGCATTCCTGGCCACAGCGCACCAAGGGAATAGCCAGCCTCCGGCAGGCCGTAGCCACCAAGCTCCCGACTCCCTACCAGAGTTGAGGACTCCGTACTCGCGTCGACGAAGCGTTTTATTTTGTTTGCGCCCTGCAACCCACGTACATAGCAAAATATATGGGAGGACAGAAACACAAACCCAGAGGAAAAAATGTCTTTTTGGGTTTGTTTTTCCGTCCTCCTCCAATGCTTTGTGTACAGGGTGCAGGGCACAATCAAAAGAAAACGCTTCTTCGACGCCAATATGGAGCCCTCAACTCTGGGTGAGCGCTGAATCTCCATACCCTGACCTCCGCAAAGAGGACTAATTGGAGGCAGGATTGGAGGCCGGGCGGGTGTTCTGCTGGGCTTGATCGCTTGATCGCTGAGAACAGAGAAGAGCAAAACGCACCGTTGCTGCTGCTGCTGCTGCCGTTTGTTACCCTTCGTTTCGCAACATCCAAAGAAGGAGCTTCTCTTGTCGCCTTTGTCGCTTTTCGTACGGCAGGGCCTGCCAGTAAGAGTCGAGCAGGGAGAGAGTTACAGCAGCAGGATAAAACATGGGGAATCAAGGCTCCTTCATGGAGAAGGTGTACGTGTATTTGCCTGTGCTGATGTGCCACTCCAAGATGGACTACTCCGACAAGTCCACCTTGTGGAACATCCGAGCTGCCTACTTCGCTGAGCAGGCAAGCAATGCGGAAACTGGACGTGACGAGTGGTGCCGGGAATGTTGGGCGTGATTTCTCTTGCTTGGGCCAAGTGTCGGCCGCTGAATTTTAGAAGAGTCGAAAGAAGCAGCGGTTTGCGTCTGTAGGGTTGCAGGCGTGGTTCGGTTTTCAGGGCGAGAGCAGGAAAGAGACACATTCGACACAAGTTGATGATAGGGTTTCTATGACGCGGCAGGTAACGGTTGCTCTGCTGCTGAAGGGTAACGGGTTGGCTGAACTTCATGTACGACCCCCCTCTTTCCACGCGTGCACCTGTTCGTCGGCCCAACGCCATGCCACCAACCAAGAGTATAGCACTACATTTACTGAATTTCGGCCCTCATTCGGATGGGGGGGGGCGGGTACAGCACCTTTGATGACAACGAGACCGGCATCGCTGTTTACTGTTTTCTCCTGTGGTTTGTTTACGGCTGTCGGTGGTGAGAAACTCGGTCAGAGAAAATGGTGGTGACGGCCAGATGAAGGCAAAAAAACGGGGAAGATATGCATAGGAGAATAGGGTTGTACAGACAGCAGGAGGGGCCCGGCAGTACGAGAACAGCCCCTTCGACTGTGGCTGTATCTCGAACGGGTAGTCTTTATGTGTTTGTATTTGTTTTTCCTAGCATTAAGAGCTTTGACATATTCATTTTTTAAACCCAACGGGGTATTCTGTTTTTCTAGACCCGAAATGGACAGTTCTTACTCCACGGCGCTAACTGCTGTACACAAACCAGTGCCACGACATGTGGGCCCCGTATCCGACAGCGAAACCTTCGAGCACCGCGACCACATCTCTTCCCCACCGAAAGAAATAAATGCCATTCCACCACCACCACTTGCCCTCGTGTTTCTTCGGCCGCACGCCTCATCATCAGATCGGCCTCTTCGCGTTCACGGCGTACTTCGTGTTCGCCATCCGAAGAAGGCGCGACCATCGAAAAATACTCGTTCCAGATATAACGCAGGGGCAGGTCCTAGCCAACAACGTCCCTGGTCCGGATGAATTGATGTACCGGAAGACGACCTACTTCCAGCACGAGATGACGGAGGTGGGCGAGTGGGCTGGCAGGAGCATGTCTTTTGTGTTTTGCCCACCGGTGGGCAGAGCGTTGTTTTGGCATGTTTGAGAAGAGCCAGCCGGCGTCATGGTTTGTCTAGGATTTTCATGCCTTTGAGAGGGTGGACGTCCTTTGAGAGGGTGGGCGTATAGCAAGAACCGGGTCGGGGATTCTGTTTAAGCACCCCAACAGGGGCTCGATCGCCAGCTGGTGCACTTACAAAAAGGACTGCTGCCGGTTCAGCGTTGTCCTCTTGGATGAACCCGCCATGCTCCTCTCGACCGTTCGCCGCCAAAGCCCGTGCCTCACCGTGACACATTCGTCTTTTTTTTGGCCAAATTCTTATGGAAGGTCTGCATTTTGGCTGGAAACCACAGAATCAGGCGGAAATTCCACGGTATCCAGAGAGCGGCTGCGATTTTTGAGATCAACCCTTATGGTCAGAACAGGGAAAACACTGGCTTTGAATCGACAGACCACCAACTGACGGTTGACAGACCACCAACTAACAGTTGGTTCCTTTCAAACACCACACATGACGCATGACTGCGACAGACATCAAAACAGCGCGGCTACTACGCCGCCGTAGGATCGGGAGCGATACACACACACACCTACTACGCCTGCTCTGTGTTGAGCAGTACACCACTCAACAAGCAAAAATAGGCAACGGCCGATTGTGTAATTGTAGATGAGAGCATTAATGTGCCCTTCTTTTTTTTTTACCTTTGAGAAAGGGTGTGTCGTCTGCCTCTCTCCACCAAAGCTCTCCACATATTCCCAGCAGAGAGTTGACACACGCACACACGTCGAACATCTGATCTGTTCATCATCATCAACACGATACACATGGCGCACACGGGGGCACGGCGGTGCACGGGTGCGGTGCAAACGTGCAATCGGTGCCGCGCGCGAGCAACAACGCCTGCACGACGACCTCTAACCCAAATCGCAGGAAGAAATCCCCGCTGCGATTTGAGCCTTCTAATCGTAGCGGGCAGAGCGATTCCGGGGTATACACGATTTCAAATCGCGTTTTTCCGGCAAATAACAGCACCATAGGAGTTAGTATGTTCTGCCGGCCTCACTACAAACCCAAATCTCAGCAACTGCAGACCTTCCATAAGAATTGGTCTTACTAGCGGCCAAAGACGGGACTTCCATTGCACCAGCAGCAGTAGTCCCGACATTCACACACACACCCACCCGGTGTTTGCCATCGGGGTTGGGTTTTCGTCGCTTGGTAACGACGTTGTAAAAGAAGCCAATTCACTTCGTGAACTCGGCAACCAGGTTACCGTTTTTTTTGCCTTTTTTATATTGCTGTAATCATAATGGTGGTCGAGTAGATTATGTTGTGCGGGGTCGAGAACCCTCACTCCGCGCAAGGGGGATGATCGCACCACGTTGTGTTAAAAGGGTCAAGCATCCTCGAGGCAGTTACACAGTGCTTACAACTGTCTCTGGAAGTGAAAGCACCAGAAAGTAAATTAAGTCATACGCAGCTGTCACCCGTACGCAAGGAAGTAAGCACAAGATGCCGAACACCCATAGCAGGACGCAGCGCACCCTTCGTGCGACTCGCCGAATACCTCACGGCGCTTCGCGCTTGGTGATGTGAGAGCCTGGTCCGGTGAGGACCCGGCGTGCTCCGTCCCGGCTTTATAGGAATGCGAGGTCAATGGTCTAACGACTACGGCATGCACGACTATGAGTACCCCCCCCCCCTCCCCATATTAATATTAAAATGCCCCCAACAGGTGTTCCAGCAGCTCCAGCAGCAGTTCGTGGCCCTTATGCTCACGATCCTGGCGCACTTCGTGCTGGGCTTCCGGCCCATCCTCCTGCTGCAAATATTCTCCGCGCCCTACCACTTCTCGGAGAACCGCCTCCTGCGCAAGCTCGTCCTGGGCCTCAAGCCCGGCTACCGCGTCTGGGGGGAGAGGTTTGAAGGAGAGCTGGAAGGGGATAAGGTCAAGAAGGAGGAGGAGGCGGCTCCGACGGCGGTGGCGGACGGGGAGGGGGCGGGCGACATTCCGGCGTTGGATTCGTCCTCAGCCGTTGCTACTTCTGCTACTGTGAAGGTGAGCGTGTTGTGTTTTGTGTACGGGGGCATGGGAACGCCCTTGAGGAAGGGACGATGATAGAGACAAGTGCGCGCCACGCTAAGGTTTTGGAACTCGAAGGGAAAGCGACGGCTGACACGAAGAGATCCTTAGATGGTGGTCAGGCAACCAGGACGTATAGTGTAAGTTGAGGAGGTCATTGTTTGCAACACCAAACAAGTACCACGTCGATCGTCTTCAGCGTAAAATAGCACGAGGGTGCGCTGTCCAGAAGAAACGCGAAGCCAAACAAGCCGCCGCGCTCCTCATAACTATTTAGCCTACCCTACTCCCACATCTACCCAAACATAACCCACAGGCGGAGGCCGATCCAGCAGTAGCCATCGCCGCCGCGGTGGCCGGGGGGGACGACGGAAGTAATAGTCTGCCGATGCCGAGGGAGTTGGAGGACAAGCTGATCGACGCTTGGGAGGCTGCTGGGGAGGGGGACTTTGGCGCCGTCATGGAGCAGTTGGGGCCGTTCACCGTCAACACGCGGACTCCCGCCTTGGGGTGGAGCCCTCTCATGGTGGCGTGCGGCTTGTCGCAGGTGTGCCCAGCTGCCGAGGTGCTTGCGAGCGCGTGGGGTGTGTGTGTGTGTGGTAATCGTGGCATGTGGTAGTAACGTAGTTGGTTACGCTGTTGTGTAGAATGATGGTGTATTTCTTGGTTTTCTGTGTCTTGGCGTTTGCTTGTGTGGGGACTCTCTCTCTCTCCCTCTCTCTCTTTCTCTGTTCTCCATCCGTGGGACCTGATTTCATCGGCTTTTTCGCACCATCGCCGCCGTCATGCATGCGTGCGTGCCAGTGCCCTCTTGTCAGCGTGTAGTCAGCCGCAAGTGCTGCATTATTTTGCCTACATACAAACCGAACGACCCGCAAAACCTTGACCCCCCTCTTCAGGTGGGAGAAGGAGACATCAAGGCGATGGTCGAAGACCTCGACGCCCAGGTCGACCTCCAGGACCAGGACGGGTGGACGTGCCTCCACTGGGCCGCGCAGCAAGGCCGTGTCGATGCCGCCCGGGTGATCTTCGAGGCACTCGGGAGCATCGCCAGCGAGCCGACCGCCGCGGCGACCATGATCCAAGACCTCCTAGCGATGAGGGATGCGGAGGGGAAAACAGCGGCGGATGTGGCAAGGGGGGCGGGGCTGGCCAGTTCGGATTTGGAGGAATTTTTGGGGGTCTTGGAAGACGGGGCTCGGTAGGCGGGGGGGGGCGGGGTGTGTGTGTGTGTACCGGGGAGTCATGCTCTCCAGGAAGAGAATGACTTGATTTCGACATAGATCCCGCTGAAAGTTTTTTGCGCCCATCGCAACGAGGTAGGCGGAGTCTGGTGTTATGTTTGGTTACCTGTGTGATGATCCGACTGTATGTAATTGGGCCTAGCTGAATATATGTGGAGAGCAGGTAGCCTTGTGTGTGCATGCACCTTGAATGAGTAAAAGTCGAGAAGAGAGAGGTATTGAGAGTTATCGACTGGCTGTGAGTTGATCCTGAAACAACGTCGTTGTTTTTGTTTGCGGTGCAGCACGTTGTTGAGTGCTGCAGGGGCAGGAGCGTAAAATGCTATTGTCGGAGGGAGATTTTAGTATTACGGTTTGACTATGGGGTGATGTATGTCGTCGAGTCGTCCGTTTACGGTTTCTGTAGGGTAATAAAGTTTTGTCGTCCTGTCCAGAGAAGACGGGCGTTGCCGCATGTCGCTTGATCAGGGGGGATGCTTTCCATTTTCCATGAGAAGAGAACGCTCCACTTTGTTTTCCCTCCCTACGCAAAGCTCGGCGTTTTTGCCGCAGAGGGAAACAGAACTCGTGAACCCTCATTTACGGCATGGATAGGGAAGGAAGGGGGGAGGGGGAGAGACAGCATGTCGAGTGGCCGTAGCTTCACCGGTATAGGTGAGGAAGAGAGCATTAAAAGTGACTGGAGTTGGTTGGGAATATATGGCATGAGCAAATACACGGGTCCGTTCTACAGATAAGCGTCGCGAGGTCACCTGTTCCGTGGGCCTTGCAGTGTTTCCCACTAGCACACGCGTGTCCATCTATTCTAGCACCCGAACTTGTTGGCACCCGCAGTCGGATTAATTTTTACGTCCGGTCAACATGGGTGTTTTTTTGTCTCCATGTCGTCCAGCCGAAAGCATCACCCCTCCCTGCTGGGAACGTTCCCATCTTTGCCCCGACAACAGCTCGTCTGCAGATCTTCTCCTCCACCGGCTAATCAACACATATCTCCTCGGATCCTTCGACAATAATTCACCCTCGCTATCTCTGCCGTTGTTCAGATCATTTCACCGAAAACAAATCCGCAATGTCGTACGCACTCAACACTCAGTTACTCTACCTCTCCAGACAAACACGCCGTAGATATTGAATCTCTATTTTCTTGTATCATAGGCGGAACAAGTTTTTACGAAGGAGTGCAAAGACACACGAGCCCCGTATTTTCCCTTTGTCGAGTTTGTGCGTGCGCTCTAGACGCCAGACGCCAGACTCCAAACGCCTTACAGCAGTAGCACCACGCAACCACACATAGCACAATGCGCGAATGCGTGTCACAGTCCAGTTTGCGGCACAATATCGACCGGTTCGGCGTCAGAAGCGGGGTGGCTGGTACCCGTTCGGCGGAATGTGGTGATGAGTACGTTAGACGTGGGTGTTTGTGGGTGATGGGTGTGCACCAGACAGAGGCCGACACACACAGAGAGAGCGGGAGAGAGAGAGAGATAGGAGGCCCGTGGCTAGACTATCACACATATTTGCCGTGTAGAAGGCTGGAGGGCTGTAGTGAAATGACACCGAAAGAGACAGTATCGTACAAGTCAGCAGTTTGCTTCCTGGCTCAACAGCACGGAGGTCGTAGCAACTGGTCCTAATGGGAGCCTCAAATCATCATGGTCTAGGCTCTGGGGGCACCAACGCGTGCTCACCGTACGCGCAACCGTCAAATCGACCGCCGGCGTTCCGCGTTCGTGTATACAACGATGGTCTGTTCAAGTCTCTGCTGGACGACGGGAAGACGTCTTCAACCTCTCCAAGGTCTCTCGGTCGATCTGCAAAGTCCAGGTGCGATGCTGATGGTGCATGACTGTCGAGATAATTCCATCTATACCTCTCGCTTGCCACATACTCCTCTCACACAAAAAACAACTCCTAATTTGACAGCCATGTTCTTGACAGACTTCGTTTCAGCTTCTGCGTACGTACAAGGACGGCACACACAACCGCGGCAAGGGTTTGGTATATTTATTTGCACTATGAAACCCGCTTCCAAAGGGAGATATCAATCCTACTGGCCGTTCGTAATTTGTCTGGCCTAGCAGGCCATCCCGCCCACCACAGGAGGACCGGTCTGAAGCGATGCTCAAAGCCGGGGCGTTGGCGAAAAAGAAGCGGCGTGAGAAGCAGTACCTGTTGCAGCTCACGCAGCAGCAGCTGTTGCAGGATAGACTGGTGAGAGACAAGTTGCTGGAGGCAGCAGCCAGCAAGGAGAGAGAGTTCGTGAGGCTCTCTGGAGAGGTCGAAGCAGGTAAGGATGCAGACCCTGTATCCTGAAATGGGGGTGCTCTGCAAAAGCTCAAATGATTCCGCCTGTGTCTGTGCTGATGTGCATCTGTCTCTCTGTGTGCATCAACCGCTAGACTAATTGTCTTCGGCTCTCTCATTCGAGGAACCTGCAGGTGTACTCTCGGATTATGATCTACACGCGGTAGAATAGTGATACAGCTAGCAACAATGACATAATCCAGCGGGCAGGCAGGGAGACGGGCGGCTTTGTTTCGTAGATGATCCTTGTACGTTACAACTTTTGGACGAGCTGGATTCGATTGGACGAATTGTTCTGCCATCCTACCCAGGGTAGTGCAAGTGTGCAACTGTGTACTCTGTAGCTTTTCACAAACAAGTGTGCGCTCCGCCCAATTGTCTATGTTTATCGCGCAAGGCCGAACATTCGTGAAGGAGTTGGACCGCATTCTGGGCATCGCAGACGAAGCGCAGCAGGGCAAAACTCTCAAGCAATACCAAGAGTGGGACGCAAATGTCCACGGGGCGATCCAGGTGCAGATGCAGAGACGTAGGCATAATGTTTCGGTCGTTTCGCACCATCTATTCTGGGCACACCAGCATACAACTTTCGACTTCTGTTGACGCACCAGCTGGGGTCACCCAAGAGGAACTCTTCACACAGGAGGCTTGAGATGTACATAATATCAGGACAGGTAGCTGCTGCCACCGGCAGCAGCAGCAGCAACAGCAGCAACAGCAGAAACAATGCGGTTCTTCAACCCGCCTTGGTGGAGTGATGGCGAAACAAGACGGTACCTGCTCGCAGTATGCATAGCACAGGATTGGTTTGGAAGATGAAGAGCAGGAGCACGTGCCAAGAGGAGTACTTGAGGAACGGTCGTGTGTAGGACGCTCGTTGGTCTCCTGCAGGAAAAGTACTTCAGCGACGAGGACACAAAGCCGACTGGTTCAACCTTTCGCCTCCACGCACTACCCTCGCCAAACTCATATGATATCATTAGATATTAATACATATGAAAGCACGATTCAATAAATCAAATGTGTTTTCAGGGACGAATCGACAAGGTCCTTGATAAAATGTCTTCCAAAGACATCAACGAGCGCAGGAGGGGAGATCTGGACAAGTTCCTGACGACCACCAACACCAAGGCGGCCGTGTTCCGCGATATCATCATCGAGTCAGGTGAAGAAGCGGACCAGAAGCCCATTGACCAATACTTCATTCTCTCTTGCATGCATCTGCAGACACACAGACGTTGATTCTTTCTCGCCCAGCTCCACCCGAAACCATGCTTATCAGGTTCCTACCTAACTCTTGTGTGTTTGATGGTGAGATTCTGCCGGGAGCGGGTGTCCGTGGACCCCCCACACTTCCCCGGTCTATACTGTGCACATTTCGATATCAAAGAAAACAATCTCATCGAAGTCCACATGCCATGCGACACACGCTTACTCTCGGTTGGCACTGGGAACCTTCGCGTGGTCTACCGTTTTCCCACCCTCCGGCAACGCCAAGCCACCAAGGTTTACTTGCTCCCAAAAACAGGCTCGTCTTGGAATAGGTATGCGACCTGCGCCACCCAGCAGGGGTCGGCTCCAGAATCTGTGGCTCCAGATTCACCAAATTAGCCTCTTGTCCTTGCCATCGCGGCCGTTTCACGTATACCTACTCAAAGAGACTCGTACCTCCTCGTGAATTCTCAACGCGTACGTTTTTGCATTTACTAGCGTATGGCAGAGCACGACCCGCTCCAGAATCCGTGGCTGTAGACTCACCCAAACAAGCCTCGCCATCACTGCTGTTCCATGCATGCCTACTCAAAAGTTTCGTGCCTCGCCATGGACACTCAACGCGTACCTTTTGTTTGAATTTACACGTGTTTGGTAGAGTACGACCCGCTCGAGCCCAACCGGCGGGCGGTCAAGGCCAAAGTCGGGCACCTCAGGGACCCCTGCAGTCGCGTACTCGACAAGCGTGCTGAGGAGAACGGGCTCCTCGCCGACGAGGGTAAGATGGGAGGACGTTTTTTCGGAGATACCGGACGTGTGGATGCTATGCTATGTGTACGTACGTACCTGGTCCTTTCCGGATTTTTGTTGTTGATGTTGTTGCTATTTTTTCCTCGTCCCGGGTAGCGTAGTGGTTCAGCTTTCTTGGTGGTGGCCACGGAAAAGTTTCTTCTATGCCTTGGAAGAGGGAGCGGGAAGGCGAACGGGAAGGAACGGTTGGAATATGAAGACAACAACAAAGAACACCACAAGAACAATATCAATAGAAACAACAACGAAATCAACAACTGCAACAACAACAACAACACCCGCAATAACCACAACAACAACAACGGGAACAGTAGAAGGGTGGGGGGGGACCGCGAGAAAATGTCTTGTGGCTCAGCCGCAATGTATAGGGGGCACGTGGTGCGTGCGGCAAGTGAACATCTTTCAATCTGATGTAGAATGATTATTTCCGCTCTTCTATCGGCCGACGCGTGGCGTTCGCTTCAGCATGGACAGCAGTGCAACGCTATGTAGTCGACATACGGCGGGTCGGTTGTTGTCGCCCATATGCCGCGCCGTGGTTTTGATGGTTATTGCCGCATGTAAGTGCTGATTCCCTCCCTCTCTCCTTCTCTCTCTTCCTTCCTCCCTCCCTTCGTGTGGCACTATCAACCTAATTCGTACGGAAAGGCGCGGGCGGCGCGGGGGCCATGCTCAGGGAATCATTCGACGTGATACAATGGGAAGAAAGAAAAGTACACGACACGCCGCATGGCTTCTTTGCGAAGATGATGGGCCGGGAGGCGGCCAGAGTGAGTGGAGAAACCAACAGCGGACAATCTGGCGTTGATGTTGTTTCGATTTGAACGGATGCGGCGGCGGTGGCGGCGGAGATGGTAACGACAGCACTACATCGCTCGAAGAGGCCTAAACATGGTGTTGTTTGTGGTGCAGTCAGCGTAAGATGCTTACACCATGTCTTAGATAAAATCGATCGGGTATCCGCAGGGCGTTTCTGCAAGGCGCCATGAAAAGGATAGCAAGCACCACACGGGGTACGAGACTTGCGCTAGAATGTAAAAGTTTTTTGTTCGACACACTCCAACACTTGTCTGTCTGATTTTGTCTTCTTCTTTTGGGGCTTGTCCAAATGTGGGTATATCTCGCCGTCTCTCCCGTGGCATGAAGAACAAGATGGGAGGCGCGAAGACAACCAGCAAGACGTACAGGTCCACGATCAAGATGGACGACTACAACGTCGACCGCGGAAGGTGAGCTCGAGACGCCTGTGGTACTGAATTACCAGGGTCTTTAGAAGAGTTTGTCGCTGCGACCGGCAGCCCCCTTCCCTCCCCCCGCCCAAACAGCCACGAAACAAAGTCGACGTTGCTTCGTGAAGGCGGCGAGCCTCCTCCGCCCCCCCGGTGATTCTGGACCGATCGTTTGTGTCTGATGTAGCGAGGACAGCCACAACCATGGTTGGCAGGTAGGGGTGCGGGGATGGACACCAACAACCTGCAATCGAAACTTGACCCTTGCATAGGGCCACATAAAAAGTGCCACAGGATGTGGCCGGCCCTACCTCGGGAACCCGGCCCTAATCAGAGTACGAGAGAACTCGTCCCTCTTTGCGACGATGGCCTAGTCTGTGTATAGAGTCTTATTTTCTTCGGCGTGCCGGCGACGCACCAGTCAGGCAGAAAACGACGTTACCTCTGGCAATAGGGTTGTTGTTCAAGTCCCGTCGAAGTGGTACTGACACACGGTCCTCGGGGGAAAATACAGTTGTTCTGTTCAAAGGGGCTGCAACATGACCCCTACAGCGTGTTAGGATGATCCGAACTGGGGGTAGCTTGTCGCAAGACGTGTGTTGAATAGGGTGTCGGCAACTCGGCGAACTCGCGCCAAGGAGGAAAGATGTGCTGGGTTTGTTGTATAGACTTCTTCTACACATGAAAAACATGGACTCACATGAACACATGAACACATGAACACATGAACTGCACGCACGCGTGCACGCACCACCATGAGGGGGCGACGCAGTATACAACAGGGGTACCTTGCACACCCTGGAAATACATTCCACGTACCACACAATCCTACAACCACTTGGCATTGCTACAAGTATATCTATCACAGCGTGGCTACAGAACGCGCCACAACGCGTCGATGGCGCACCTCCCTCGAAACATCGGGGCATGGTGTATTTATAGAACAACCCCCGCAACGAAAGAACCTTCTTAAGCCAGTTCGTTGCCTGCGCCGTTATTCATGGTGTCGGTTCTCTTGTTCAGGGATATCGTGACGAAGGAGTTTCCCAAGGGCAAGAAAACGTACGCGGCGGGAGACGAGTTCGCCCCCCCATCCAGCGATGCCAAGAGTCTGATTGGGATGGGATGAGGGGGTAGTCGATGGACGAGCACGGACAAAAGCAAGTGCCTACGGTTGGTGTTGCCAAACCAGGAGGACTCACGTCTCTGGTGATCAGTAGGAAAACGAAGAATATATGTCGCGCTGGAATATGCCGCTGCTTGATGTGACGAGCCAACCCGGGGGGGGGGGGTCGGCAACAACGAAACACATACCGACCTGGTTGGCGAGGTAAGACAAGTAACCTCCTCATACCTGCTGTTTTGTGTTGATTTCCCTGTGTACTAACTGTCATGCTGTTCTAGTGTGTTTTTCCTCTGGTTGTCGCTGTGCTGTCGGTTGTGTTGATGGTAAATGAAGGCCTGATGAGCCGTTCGTTGTTGTTGTTGTTGTTCTGGCGTGGGGAACACGCGGGATGGAGTTGTCGATGATGGCAGTAGTCCATTGCCTGCGGAGAAACAAGCGCCCGTCGCGGCTCCCCCGAACAAACATGTAAATACAGTGACCATCAAACCACGAGGTAACGGGTGTTGCTCGTGCTAGCTTAGTCTTCCCTGTGTCGATAGATTCCTCTTTGTCAAGCATACTCTGCAGAGACAGAGAAGTAACCCTTGCTGCCGTTTTTACGCAGCGAATTTTCGTTCAATATTTTCCTGCTGTGTTTTGAAGTCTCGCCGTCAAGAGTTTTCTAGGCGGAAAATGAAAACAATGGTTGTTGTGTTCTCGGGTGTTGCTACAATTTGCGCATGTGTGCAGGACTTGTGTTTTTAAGAGTTGGAGTCTTGCGCTTCTTTTTGGTTGATTTCAGTCAGGTGAAAAGCCAGTCTTCTTCTGAGGGAAACTAATGTTGAGCTAAACTTGCCCTACCGAAACCACTTGTGTGCACGTTTAGGCACGTTTAAATAACGTTTGACGACAAACTCGAGGAAAATGAGTGTTGAGCTTACTCCATCCAAAAACGGTATGCATTTGTGAATGTGAAGGCGCGTTACAGGACGCACCGACAACTAATTTAAGAGACACGTATGCTGCCCGAAGCTCGATCCTTGTTTTCCTCCGTGGGGAAACCAAACGGGGAGCACAGAAGGTTTCAGCATCAGGCAGGGTTCAAGGCCCAATATCCTGGGAAGTCTGAACCCTCTTCTTCCGCTGCGGCGGCGGACCCACGCACCGCCGAAACACCGCAAGGTTCAGCACGTGGCACAAAACAAGCCTTCAGTCGAACAAAAACCTCACGGGTACAAGGCGAGCCTGCTCAGCTGCCACGCAGACCCTTTTCACTTTGTTTTCCTCATCTGGTCTCTTAGATGCGATAGTCTTTACCCGGATCAAAACATGCAAGGAAGCACGGTCGGGAACCGTTTCCTAGATCAACGCCATCAAGGTGTGAAAGCCGTAAAACTTTACAGTTTCCTCCCTGTAAAAATAAAACCGCATCACAGCTCTATGATACATGCATGCGTCAATGAGGCATCCCGTGACACTCGTGGTCGGCCGGTGCCGTTTTTCACGGAACGCATCGTAGGGGACGCGTGAACCTTTCTTTCAAAATCGAAAAGGGAGACGGAACGTTTTTTCCTTCTCTTCTATCCCGAAGTGGTAATAACCGAAACACAAGAGAGACACCTATATTCTCTGTCTCACTACAGGGCCACCAAGAAAAAACGACAGCAAACAGCAGCAGCGGAAGGTAGGGACAGGGTTAACCCTTACCCTCAAGACCCCTTCGGCGGCCTGAGCCAAGCCACGGTCGTCCCAACCAACCCCGACGTAGCAGAGGCACAACGTCGCCACCGGCGGAAGAAGAACCGTTTCGCGCGAAAACAGCAGCGCTCGGTCAACTCAAAACTTGCTCGGAACGGCACGCAGAACACACACACCCCGACAAACGTGCACACCGAGAAAGGGTGCGACTCATACAGCACGGCGGCGTCTTTGATACAAGGCGACACTTGACGGGGGAACGCCGCGGGGACCCATATCCCGCCAACTTCATGAAGGCCGTTTTGGGTGGTTGCCCGGTTAGCGCGGTCGATGCTAGCCCCCGCCCGCAACCACACCAAAACAGACGAGACAACCCCTCCCGCCTCCCTCACGCCCCATTCTACAACTAATCCATAACATCGCGCTCTTCTCATCAATCACTAAATCCCGGCCCAAAACCTCTGGTACTTACTGTAGCACTAACCCATACCACATGGCGTCCGCGCCAGTTGGACCAGTACGGTCTGAGTGGAGACCGCAACAGTTTCGACGTGAAGAAGACAACAACAAAAACAACAACCATAAAAGCTTGTTGTCTTCTCTCTCATCGCTCATCAGTAAATTCCGGACCAAAACCTCTGGTACTTGTCGTACCAGGCCGTCGTCCAGCTCCCGGCCGACTGCTGCACCAGCTTGTGCACGAAGTCCTTGCAAGCCGGGTCGTTCAGCTCCGGCTGGAACCTCGCCGCGAGGTCCGCCGCCGCCGCCGCCCCACCCCCGGGACCCTGAAAGCACGGTAGGTTCTCGTTACCGCTGGCCATCATCTCCACCAGCAGCACGATTTCCTACGCGAACGAACGCGGGGTTTTGTGAAGACGCCGGACAAGGGGGGGGGGGGGCAGCTTTGCTGGACGCGTTCCGCGTGTCAACACATGGTAGGGGAAGGAAACGTGGGTACGACAGCATACAGGGGGCAAAAAAGTAAAGGTTCCTCCTGCCGCCATCAGCTAGGCACACGACGCTCAACCACACAACTGTTGTATACACACATGAAAATATGAAGGGTGAACTGCGCTAAATAGTCTACTTGCTTGATTTTTTGTTTTTGATGGGCAAAAGATGGAATGCGTGGGCTCACACGCCTTCTTCTTGTATATAACCTCATTTGGATCACCACACTCATTTCGTTGCTGTCAAAAGAAATATGATGGGAGCAAGTGTCACCACGACTACGGGAAAAAAGAGCTCACCTGAGAACTTCGCCGAAGGGCGAGAAACGTGTCCACGCACAGCCCCCGGAACTCTCGGAAACATCTAGACTGCGTGCCCCCCATCAGGTTCAGGAATCCCTGTGTCAGCTTGAAGGGGGCGGACTCGAACCCAAGGTTTCCCCCCGGGCTGTTGGCGAGCATGAAGCCGAAGTCGACGTGGATCACGCGTCCTTGGGAGTCCAGCAGAATGTTGCCGTTGTGCCTGTTGGGGGGTTCAGGGTCCAAACCAAAAACCGTGGCACAGGGACCGACAGAGAGAGAGAGAGAGAGAGAGAGAGAGAGAGAGAGAGAGAGAGAGCGGGGGTTGGCTCGCCATCGACGTCTCGACAGAGATAACTCTCACTTCGTCCTGAACATCAAGTAGAAGCCTTTAGATTTGAGTAGCCAACGACAACGCCGGAGCCCCCCCCCCCCCCCCCCCCCAAGGGACCCACTTTTTAAGGATATTCCTGAACACAAAAACCAAATTCATGGACAACCAACCCCCACCCCCTTTTCCCGGCAATCTGGAAACAAAACACCACTCCCGCAATGAACGTCAGGTCCTGACCTTTTCCTACAACACGTCAAGCTTAACCCCCCCGCAGCCCGTGCCCCGGCGTGGGGGGGTGGGTCGGGTTTGTTCTCGGGGGAACCATCCCCTTTAGTGGGGGCCGGCGGCGACCTCCAACTTGTTGGGGTTTTAAAAACCCCAACTCCAACCACTGGACGAATAATACGACAGTCAGCGGTTCAATAGCCCCTCTGGGCAAAAGGGTTGACCCCCGCCTCCACAAAAAATTACCGTGAAAGTTCGGGCCTCAGGGGGGGAATGTTGGGAACCGCGCGCACCCGACCCGCGAAAACACACGAAACCCCACCCGACCCACCTGTGCTTGATCTCC